CTCGCTGCAGGCCGGCCCCCAGCTCTCCATGTCGGCGCTGTTCCGGCTCATCGTCCGGACGGAGGGCGCGCTCGGCCTCTATCGGGGCCTCGCCCCCAACTTCATGAAGGTCGTCCCGTCCGTCAGCATCAGCTACGTCGTCTACGAACACCTCAAGAGGTCGCTGGGGGTCCAGTCCAGGTGAACCGGATCGGATCGGACCGATCACCCGGTTTTCTGTGGTTCTGGATCATTGTGAACCGGTCCTGGTTCTGATGGACTGTCTCAGCTACTCTGGGTCTGAGGTTCTAGATCAGAACCAGAACCGCCCGGTACCATATGAGCGGGATGGATTCCCTCCAGAACTTGACCCTGATCAGAACCAGAGGGTCGGGTTGGGTCGGCAGAACCTCAGCGGCGCCACGAGGATACTTTGACTCCGTCACCATGGCAACCATTCTGTCATTTCCGGTCACATGATCACAGCATGAGGCGTTCAAGTTCCATGGGAAAAACTGAGAAACTGTCCTGATCATAGAAACCAGAAACACTCAACTCACAGATCCGATTCCCTACCGGACCGGACCGGCCGGATCCGAACAGACCGGGCCGAACCGAACCGGCCGGATCCGAACGGGCCAGGCCGAACCGGCCGGATCCGAACGGGCCGGGCCGAACCGAACCGGCCGGATCCCCATCTGGTTTCTTTTATTTATTTCAGTATTTATTGGTTTGGCTGATCATGATGACACTGATTGTTTGGACCGAACCAGAAGGTTCTGCTGAAAACTGAAACTCTGAATGTTTTCATTATCTGACCCACCAGAACCATCTGACCCACCAGAACCATCAGAATAAAGGCTGGAATGTTGCACTCTGTGTGTTATAGATCTATATCTGACTGACGGATAATAAATCTGAAGTTTTTAAATAATATTTTAGTTTCTGCTGAGGATCCGGTTTTGGTTCATAGTCGGATGGATTTCATCCTGGTTCCGATTGGTTCCGGTTTAAGGTACACATGAATAGAGGGTCTCTGTGACGTCATGAGGATCAAGCTGCTCTGCGGTTTCCGGTTCTGGAATCATGTCTGCCTTCAGTCACGAGCCGCTCAGCCGCCAGGCGTCACTTCCTGACTGCGCTGCGGAACCAGAACCAGAAACCGCTCCAGACATGCCGTCCCTGCAGCAGATCCGAACCGCTCTGGAAGGCTCGGGCCAGGCCCACGTCCTGCGGTTCTGGCCGGAGCTCGGTTCGGAGCAGCAGGAGGTGTTCCTGCGGGAGCTGGCCCAGCTGGACCTGCCGCGGCTGGAGGAGCACTGCCGCGCGGCCGCACAGGCGGCGGCCGCCGCACAGGCGGCCTGCGCACCGGACCGGGACCTGGAGCCGAACCTGGAGCCGGTTCCCCCGGAGAGTATGGGCAGCGTGAGGAGGAGCGACCCGGACTGTCTGTCCGGATGGGAGCGTGAAGGTACCAGAACCACAGCGAGGTTACAGCCGCTGGGGCTTTAACTCCGTGTTTTCTCGCGATAGTTCAGAGAATCTCTGCAGACTGTTTAGTTATGGTTAGTGAGTGCGCATGCGCACTAATGATTAACTGCTAACTCCATCTTTGGACCAGGTTTCATCTCAGAACCTGTAAAAACACAAACTGCATCATCCAATCACGCTTCAGAAAGTAGTGTGACGTCAGCATGTAGTGTTGCATATTGTGCGGTAGAGGGAGCACTTCAGCTTGGTGCCTGGAGAAATGTCAGCAATATTCAGGTAGAAAGATGGCTGATCGGAAGGTTGCTGGTTCAATTCCCAGCATGTTCAGTTTTACAGTATTCAGAATAAAAAAGTCTGTTTTCTGCTAGTTTGATCAGAAACATTCTGGAAACCGAACTGTTGGGCTTATAAAGCCCTGAGGCATCACCACATATTCAACATATGGACATCAGAAATGGTTAAAAAGTTGGAAAAAATTCCTGCTACAGCTGAAAATGTCGATACAATGAATGTAACTGTTGAAAGTTTCCTTTCTGATCAGGATTCCTGCAGATCTCCAGGAGCCGCGTCGCGGTTCTGCTCCTGGCCGGAGGTCAGGGCACACGGCTCGGGGTCAGCTACCCCAAAGGGATGTTCGACGTCGGGCTGCCGAGCGGGAAGACGCTGTACCAGATCCAAGCCGAGCGGATCCTGAAGATCCAGGAGCTGGCGGAGAGCCGACTGGGGTCCAAATGCACCGTTCCCTGGTGAGAGCAGAACCGCCGGGACGCTTTGGGCCAACAGGGAGGAGAACTTCACCCCACTGGGAGGAGGAAGCATCTGAAACCTTCAACTTTACGCTACAGACAGAAAAATGAATAAATATACCGCAATATAAAAACTCAGAAAATTTGAGCTCATCTAAGAAATTTTCTAAACTAAAATAAAAAACTAGATGAGATTTTTGAGATCCAAAAGAAAACTCAGAAATTACTTTGAAATCTTCTGAGCTCATAAAGTCAATTTTTTTAACTTTGAGTTAGAAAAGTTTCACATTTTAGGCCTAAAAACCTAAAAACATTTCAGAAACCCCAACCAGCAGCGTGCAGATTGATTGTGGAATATGAGGCCGTCTCCTCCTCACCTGTGCAGGTACATCATGACCAGTGAGTTCACCCTGGAGCCCACAAAGACCTTCTTCCAGGACAACGCTCACTTCGGCCTGCAGCCCTCCAACATCCTCATGTTCGAGCAGCGCATGATCCCAGCCGTGACCTTTGACGGGAAGGTCATCCTGGAGGGCAAAGGGAAGGTTGCCATGGCGCCAGGTGGGTTTGGTCAGCAAACGCAGCAGATCCATGACGACCCTCGGTGACCTGTGTGACCTCTGTGTCAGACGGTAACGGCGGCTGTACCAGGCGCTGGAGGACAACGGCGTCCTGGAGGACATGGAGCGCAGAGGAGTGGAGTTCGTCCACGTCTACTGCGTGGACAACATCCTGGTCAAGATGGCCGACCCGCTGTTCGTTGGCTTCTGTGTGGCCAAAGGAGCCGACTGCGGCGCCAAGGTTCGGATGTTTCCTTTGGTTGGCTGACGCTCCGAAGGTTCAGGTCACATCCAGAACACCGATTACCGCAACAAGTTTAAAACTATAATCTGTCCAATTTTAATGGATTAGAAAAATGGAATTGATTGGATCCCAAAACATCTTTAGGGTCAAAGTTCGTTCCTGCAGTTTATCAGTTTAATTTCCAAGTTTTAATTTGGATGAATCACCTGGAAACAAATCTGAGCCAGAGGAGGATTCAGCTATTGAGTTGACCTTTGACCTGCAGCTGCCTCCTCAAGTAGCAGATCATTCTTAGCTTAGCGCTTTTGTAACTTGCAGCTGCAGATTTGACCCAGTTGGGGGCGATATACTTTGTAACAATCAGTTCAGTTATTCATGCAGCTCAGACTCACCACAGGAGTCTGAGAGCAGAAAACGGTTCATCAGCGCGCCGCGCAAACCAACATGGCTGAATTTAGCACAACAGCATTAGCTTGTTAGCTGCTGCTCGCTCCGAGTGCCGACCGCTCCGCCTTGCTCCACCAGGTGGTGGCGAAGGCCCACCCAGCCGAGCCGGTGGGCGTGGTTTGCAGGGTGGGCGGCGTCCCTCAGGTGGTGGAGTACAGCGAGATCCGACCCGAAACGGCCCGGCTCCGAGGATCAGATGGAGAACTGGTCTACAGCGCCGGAAACATCTGCAACCACTTCTTCACCAGGAGCTTCCTGCAGGACGTGGTCGAGTGAGAAACCCGCCGGGACGGATTACCGTCACGTTAACCTGGCATGTCTGCTGACCTCTGCTGACCTCTGCTGACCTTGGCTCTTGCAGGACCTTTAAGGACCAGCTGAAGCCTCACGTGGCTCTGAAGAAAGTCCCGTTCGTGGACTCCTGTGGGAATCAGGTGAAACCGACCGAACCCAACGGGATCAAGATGGAGAAGTTTGTTTTTGACGTGTTTCCGTTTTCCAGGTACAAATAATCCGGCGTGTTTCCAGACTGCTGGTAATCTGGATTACCAGCTGGTTTCTCTGCAGGAACTTCGTGGTTCTGGAGGTCCAGAGGGAGGACGAGTTCTCCCCTCTGAAGAACGCAGACGGAGCGCCAGCCGACACGCCCACCACGGCCAGAAACGCCCTGCTGGCCCAGCACTGCCGCTGGGCAGCGGCCGCTGGCGCCGCCCTGCTGGATGAACAGGGGATCGGCACGCCCATGCCGCCCAGGTCAGAGGTCGCTGACCCTATGCTCACATGAAGGTTCAGTTTGTGGGTTTAGTAGATGTTGGATTCTTGTCGTCCACAGTTCGTCCCCAGAGAATCGTCCGGCGCTGAAATGTGAGATATCTCCTCTGGTGTCGTATTTTGGAGAGGTGAGGAGCAGAACCACGTCGCGTTCTGGTTCTGAACGCGGTTCTGGTTATTAATAACTAATAATCAGAACTCCTCATGCTCCCAGGGCCTGGAGCTGCTGAAGGGGAAAACCATCAGAACGCCGTTCATCCTGGATGGAGCAGCAGCTGCAGAGCTGCAAGCCTGATCGGATCAGAACCACAGACACACCGGGCCTGGAGAACCAGTCAACCAATCAGGGATCAACTGAAGACTTTATACAAACTGTTTTTATACCAACAAATAAAAAGATGATTCAAACTGTTTAATTTTATTAAACTGACTCAGAAACCCAAACGTGGAGTTCAAGTCAAAGCACTTTAAAGCACGGTGGTGCAGGTATGATGATGTGGGGATGTTTCTCATATTCTGAAGCGTTTATTGCAAACCAGGGATGCTGCTGCAATGAGCCGAACACACCAGGAGCGGACAGCACCTCGGGTCCAAACAAGATTACAAGAAATTAATAAGCAAATTAAACAGAAAAACAACAAACACGGTTAAAATCTACGGAGCCCCCAAAGGGACATGGGGAGTTTGTTTTTGTTTTGCAAAGAAAAATAAATTCCCCATGTCCCTTTGGGGGCTCCGTAAAAATCTGAATCAGACAATGCATTAACGGATTGGTTAATCAATTCAAAATCCATTTCTGTAAAAGATATAATGGTGTAAACTGAAAAAAGCATAAAACTAAAATCATTTGAAAGCAAAAATGGCAAACCACCGAATAAACTTCAACACATTAAAACAAAATTTGTAAAACTTAACTAATTTACAGTAAAATTCAAAATAATGAACTGAAATAGTACAAAAAGGGAAAATTGTAAAGAAAACGAAAATTAAATAAAGTGAACTATAGGGTCTGATCCCCTGAGCAAGATGGCGGCTTCGGCTGCAGTTGTCTCAGGCTCCTGCTCTGTCACGTGTCAACTGTCGACCAATCAGAGCTGTGTGCGTTCAGGACGACAACAACCCGCTGAGCGGCGGAATGCTAGCGGACCGCTGGTCCGAAACACGGATTCAGACGCGGGTTTCGACTGATTTCTGTTCGGGGTTAGTTCATTTAACCCGACCCGGTCCAGTAGAACTGTTCTGGGGTTCTGACTGAGTTCCGCCCGGGTCCTTCCCGAGCTGTTCGCATCCCGCAGCGCCTGTTAGCATGCCGGTTCTGGAATGCTAGCGATGTTCAAGAATGTGTTCGGTTCGGGATTCCTGGTGAGGACGGCCCACGTGGTTCTGACCTGGATCATCACGCTCATCCTCTTCCTGTATGACACAGGTGAGTCCGTCCGTGGTTTTCCAGGTTTTCCAGGAGTTCCAGGTTTTCCAGGTCAGGACTCTCTTGTTTCCCCGGCAGAGCTGAGGAAGCAGGAGGAAACGGGCCAGCTGCTGCAGCCGGTTCTGTTCGTCCTGCTGGTTCTGGTGTCGGTTCTGCTGTACTTCGCGGTGTCGCTCATGGATCCGGGATTCATTCTGACTGAGGACAGCGACCTGCAGGTGAGCCGGAAGTGGTCTGGGTCGGAACCACGCAGGTCTGGGAGCCTTTCTGCTGAAAGTGGTGAACCCAGTTGAACTTTAACCTCGGGTTATTTCCGGGACATTCGGGCTCGAGACATTCGAGCGTCTCCAGACTTTGGGGATGTTCTGGATCGAACCGATCCAACAGAACCAGCGGTTCTGTCACAGCAGTTACATGATACAAACCAGAGCTGGACGATCCAGACTGAGAAAATATGTTGAGAAATATTTTATAACATTTATGAACTGACAAACATTCCATTCTAATCAGGCTTCTGTCAGGACACCTCTGATATTTATTGATGCTCTCATGGAACAAATAATGGAGAAACAGCAAAACCTGAAAATACTGTAAGTTTAGTTTTTAATTTAACATCATTAATTTACATTTATTGAGACGACGATACATTTATATTTATTTATTATAAATAATTTATAGTGTCTGTTAATAAACTGCAGGTCATAAAGTCTCCTCTGGTTGTGTCTGTGTGTTGGAGTGCGGTGGTGGCGGTGTCATGATGTGGGCTCTGTGTGTTCCAGTTCACTCTGGGAGGAACGGAGGAGCAGCAGGATATGATCCCGTCCAGCACCAAGTGGCTGCGTCAGCGCCGCTGCGGCCGCTGCCTGCTGCAGGTACCGACAAACATCCCAACCAGGAAAACCTTCAGCTGTCCTCTGAGGTTCAGACCAACTGGATCTGATCTGAACCAGAATCAGTTCAGTCCAGATTCAGTTCTCTGTTCAGTTTATTATTCACACTGGTTGAAAGGAAACAGCAGATCGGTGACCAGCAGGGGGCGACAGCGGAGAGGAAAAGCTCCCTTTAACAGGAAGAAAGCTCCAGCAGAACCAGAACCAGCATCAGTACCACCTGCATTCATTTACTGACCAGAAGCTGTATCAGTTTTAACTTCTATTTAAAATAATAAAGTGATGCAAAGCAGCTGAAACTGAGAAAAACATTATTGAAATAAAAAACTTCAGGAGTTTCATTTTACAGATTCAGTAAAAGAAACTTAAACATATTTTAGATGTTGATGAAGTTATGATGGGTCCAAAGAATGAAACTTGGAGGATGATGATGATGATGATGGTGTTTGTGTGTCTGGAGCAGCAGCCAATGAGGTCCAAGCATTGCCAGACGTGTCAGCACTGCGTGCGGCGCTACGACCATCACTGCCCGTGGATCGAGAACTGCGTCGGCGAGCGGAACCACCGCTGGTTCATCCTCTACTTGGCGCTGCAGCTGCTGGTGCTGCTGTGGGGGCTCCGCGTCGCCTGGTGAGTACGCGCTCCCCCGCCCCGCCCCGGGTCGGAGGTCGGGGAGCTGACGGCCGTGTCTCCTCAGGACGGGCCTGGGCCACGCCCCCTCCTGGTCGCCGTGGCTGCGCTCCAACGGCGTGCTGCTGGCGGTGTGCGGGCTGCTGGCGCCGCTGGCGCTGGTGGTGCTGCTGCTGCTCGGGTCGCACCTCTACCTGGTGTCCATGAACGCCACCACCTGGGAGTTCATGTCGCGCCACCGCATCTCCTACCTCAAACACTGCGGCGCCGACCAGAACCCGTTCGACCGCGGCGCCGCCCGCAACCTGTGGGGCTTCTTCTGCCAGTGGGGCAGCGTGGTGTGGGAGCAGGCCTACTTCAGGGAGGGCAGCGACCCGGTTTAGGTTCCGCTCACGGGGTCGGATCACCGGCGCCGGTTCTGCCAGCCCGTCGGTCTGGACCGACCCGGATCACGTTCTGGGAAATCAGGACTGAAGTTTTTTAAGGTCCGAATGTTGGACCAGATGAAGACTCTGATTCTGACGACGGATGGTTCCGACCCGTCTGAGCGGAACAAACGGACTGCAGAGTTCTGATCTTCCTCTGACCAGAACTTCTGCCTTGACCTTTCACCTTCATCCATCATGGGCTGTAGAAGAGTTCAGGTTCTGATGGTTCTGTTTACATGTCGGTCTGGGTCGGGTTCCGGGCCGCCCGGTTCCTGCTCTTCCTCTCCTTGGACCGCCGTCTTCAGTCTGGTTGCCGTGGTTCCCGACCCACATGGAAGGTCAAAGTTCAGATCCGGGGCCCGTCCAGCCTGTGGAGCCGTCCGCCATGCAGATGGTTGGTTTGGGCTCAGCTTGTTCTGGGGACCAGAGGGACTGGTTCTGATGGTTCTGGTGGTTCCGGTGGTTCTGGTGGTTCCGGTACCAGTGGACAGGAGCTGATTAGACCAATAAACACCGAAACAGGAAGTGAGCCGGAGCTCAAACCTGTGACTTCCTGTCAGAACTGGACTCAGTCTGAGGGTTTCTGGGAACATCAAAGTTTTTATCCGGGTCGTTTGTTTGTCTTGATCCCAACAGGAAGCTGACTGACGGACTTCCTGTTTCACTGCCGGTTCAAACCAGGTTCCTGCTGCATGTCTGGTGTTTCTGGGTCCCACAGGTTCTACTGGGTCCAGCTTTTTACCTTTCAGGTTGATGTCCAGATGAAGCCACTGCAGGGAACCTGAGGGGTCAAAGGTGAACATGGAGCAATAAAGCTGGGAGGTTTCTCCTGCTGGAGCGATCAGAGCTGCA